CAGGGAGCAGACTCAGGACCAGACCTAGACGCTGCAGCAAACACCTGACTTGACGCAGCTACCTGGCCAGACTCAGCAGCCGGAGGAGACTCAGTAGTAAGGGTGTACAGGCTCGACCCTGGCCGACGGGTGAACGTGGCCAAGTGTCGGCCTGTCCTAGCGCACGTGCAGTGGGTCACCCGCTGACTCGCAGGAGTGAACTGGTCAACCCCCCTATCCTGTAGGTCCGCTCCACTCACCAAGTTCGTAGAGAAGGAGGGGAGGTAGAGACCTGACAGGGTGCCAGAGGGGGCTGCTGGGTACGGTAAGACAATGGAGAAGCTAGCAAGGATAGGACCCCCAGAGGGGTCCGCCAGGGAGACTGCCACCAGCCGACTAAGCGGCGTAAGCGTGGTGCGGTCTCGAAAGAAGGAGCGGGAAGCACCCGAGTCAAGGGTGAAGGTGTGTAAGGCCTGAGCCGACGTAGTACCGAAGAGAGCAGACTCACCAGCACCTGGGGCAGCAAACGCACTAGCACCTGGGGCAGCAGACGCACTAGCACCTAGAGCAGCAGCTGTCAAACATTGTATATGTTCTGCTTGTGTAGGCTACAGTGGGTTAGCCTATAGGGGGTACACAATTCTAGGGTTTCCTACTTGTACTCATTTCACTGCTAGTTCATTCATTCCTGTTCGCTTATTCTCACATGGTATAGAGTGGGTCCTTCTACGGACCGTTTTTTTTTTGGGCCCACCGAAGCGCCCCCCGAGGCGCGATTTTTTTTTTTTTAGCGACCCCTCGGGTCGTCATTTTCCCTGCGGCCCCGCCGCTTTCACTGACGCGGCCCTGCCGCCCTCTCTGACGGGGCCCCGCCGCCGGCCCTTACGCGGCCCCGTCGCCGGCTCTCACGCGGCCCCGCAGCAGGCTCTGTCGCGGCTCCGCCCCGGCCTTTACGCGGCCCCGCCGCCTGCTCTCACGCGGCCCCGCCCCGGCTCCTTCGCGGCCCCGCCGCCTGCTCTCGCGCGGCCCCGCCGACGGCTTTGTCGCGGCCCCGCCCAGGCCCTTACGCGGCCCCGCCGCCTGCTCTCACGCGGCCCCGCCCCGGCTCTTTCGCGGCCCCGCCGCCTGCTCTCGCGCGGCCCCGCCCCGGCTTCTACGCGGCCCCGCCCCGGCTTTCGCGCGGCCCCGCCGACGGCTTTGTCGCGGCCCCGCCCAGGCCCTTACGCGGCCCCGCCGACGGCTCTGTCGCGGCCCCGCCCAGGCCCTTACGCGGCCCCGCCGCCTGCCCCCGTCGCGGCCTGGTCGCCTCCTGACGGCCCCGCCGTCCCTTCGTGACGGCCCCGCCGTCCCTTCCTGACGGCCCCGCCGTCCCCTCCTGACGGCTCCTGCCGTCCCCTTCTACCGGCCCCGCAACTGCACCTGCTGGCAGTTCTACCACCCCTCCTCTCGTCGTGTTCTGTCCTCCCAGGACGTCACGTTCGACGAGTCAGTCCCCTTCTACCGCCTCTTCCCCTACCGTACTCCTTCCCTCCCCCCCCCACCGGACTTCCTGGTACCAGTTCCCCCCCCGGTAGACCCCCTCCCCCCTCAGGTTCCTGCCCCTTCAGGTGTGTCCCAGGTAGACACGGTCGAGCCAGTCGAGGTTGCTGCTGAGTCTGGTCCTGCTGCGGGTGCTGAGCCTGGGGGTGCTGAGCCTGGGGGTGCGAGGCCGGGGGGTGCTGAGTCTGGGGGTGCTGAGCCGGGGGGTGCTGAGCCGGAGGGTGCTACGTCAGGAGCTGCTGAGCCTGGGGGTGCTGGGCCTGGAGGTGCGGAGCCTGCGCCTGCTGGACCTGGGGGCTCTCCGGTTCTTCCGTCTCGGCGGGAGCCGCTCTCTCCACAGGAGCTGCGCGAGTGGTTTGCTCGCCGCTGGAGGCGTGCTGCTGGAGCTGGAGCTTCTTCGCCTGCTGAGGGTGCTGCCGGTCCCGGAGCTGCTGGGCCTGCGAGTCCTACTGGAGCTGGAGCTACTGAGTCTGGGGGTGCTGAGTCTGGAGCTGCTGAGCCTGGAGGTGCTGAGTCTGGAGCTGCTGAGCCTGGGGGTGCTACGTCTGGAGCTGCTGTGCCTGGGGGTGCTGAGTCTGGAGCTGCTGAGCCTGGGGTTTCTCCTGCTGTTGCGTCTCGCCGGGAGCCCCTCTCTCCACAGGAGCTGCGCGAGTGGTTTGCTCGCCGCTGGAGGAGTGCTGCTGGAGCTGGAGCTTCGTCGACCGTCGAGGGTGCTGGTGCTGCCGGTCCCGGGGCTGCTGGGCCTGCGGGTCCTACTGGAGCTGGAGCTGCTGAGGGTGTTGGTGCTGAGACTACTGCTGTCTGTCCTGGCGGTGGTTCTGCTGCTGGTGCTGCTGGAGGTCCTGCGGCTGGAGGTGTTGGTGGCGCTGGTGCTGTCGCTGAGGGTGCTGGTGCTGTCCCTGCTGAGTCTGGAGCTGCCGCGCGGCCTCGGCCGTACTTCGTTCCGCTCCTACAGCAGGTTCTTGGTCTTTCTCCTTCGGTAGAGTGTCCACAGCCTGTCCAGTCGCAGTCACTGTTGGAGCCTTCCTCTCCTCTGCCTGCTCCCTCTCCTTACACTGGTCCTACTGGAGGTCTTGCTGAGCGTCGTGAGCCTGCGTCTCGTCCCGCGTCGCCGGTTCGTGCTGCTCGCGCTAGTGGTCGCGGTTCGCGTCAGCGTCCTCCTCCTGTCCCTGGCACGCACCGGATGTCTCTGCGTCCGTCCACTGCTCCTCTGCGTGCCCCTTTGCCTTCTCCTCCTGAGTCCTCTCTTCCTGCGCTTGCCGACCCTGAGTCGGACTCTCTTCGCGCTGCCAGTCCTATTGTCACGCGTCTGCTTGCTACTGTCGTCACTGACCCCTCTTTTGAGTCCACTGCTGCGTCTGCTCTAGTCGCTGAGCTCGTTGACTTTGCTGCTCGCTGTCGTCTCGACTACGCTGCTAGTCTTGTTGCTGAGTCTGCGTCTGTCTGTCCTCCGTCCGTCGGGGGTGAGTGTGCTCTTGGCACGGACGTCCTAGAGGACAGGCAGGAGGAGTTACAGTGTCTAGCGGCTGCTTCACCTCATCTCGCGTCTGTACTGCTTGCCCCTGAGGGAGACCCGGATGCACTAGACATCCCGACTCCGCGTTCTTACGCGGAGGCCGTAGAGGGTCCCTACTCCTCTCAGTGGCAGGCAGCTATGGATGCAGAGATGGCTTCCTGGAAGTCCACAGGCACCTACGTTGACGCGGTTCCCCCTCCTGGGGCGAACATCGTCAGTGGCATGTGGATCTTCAGGGTGAAGCGGCCGCCGGGCTCTCCACCTGTCTTCAAGGCACGGTACGTTGCTCGTGGCTTCAGTCAGCGGCAGGGAGTTGACTACTTTCAGACCTTCTCTCCCACCCCGAAGATGACCACTCTTCGGGTGCTGCTGCACATAGCCGCTCAGCGCGACTACGAGCTTCACTCTCTCGACTTCAGCACTGCGTTCCTGCAGGGTAGCCTGCACGAGGAGATCTGGCTGCGCCGTCCACCTGGCTTCACTGGGACTTTCCCTCCTGGCACCCAGTGGAGCCTCCGACGGCCAGTCTACGGTCTCCGCCAGGCACCGCGTGAGTGGCACGACACACTGAGGGCTACGCTTGTGGCTCTTGGGTTTGCTCCTTCTACTGCTGACCCGTCGCTGTTTCTGCGCACCGACACTTCACTGCCGCCGTTCTACATCCTCGTGTACGTCGACGACTTGGTCTTTGCCACAGCGGACACTGCTGGACTCGCCTACGTGAAGTCCGAACTGCTGAAGAGACACACGTGCACAGACCTGGGTGAACTGCGCAGCTACCTTGGCTTGCAGATCACTCGGGACAGAGCACGCCGCACCATTATCTTGACTCAGTCACACATGGTGCAGCAGGTCCTTCAGCGCTTTGGCTTCACGTACTCCTCGCCTCAGGCCACTCCTCTGCCTACTCGCCACTCACTCTCAGCTCTGCCTTCGGATGAGTCCGTAGAGTCGAGTGGTCCGTATGCAGAGCTTGTTGGCTGCCTCATGTACCTGATGACCTGCACACGACCTGACCTTGCATACCCTCTGAGCATTCTTGCACGCTATGTTGCTCCTGGGAGACACAGACCAGAGCACATGGCTGCAGCGAAGAGGGTATTGCGCTACCTGTGCAGTACGTCGGGCATGGGGCTAGTGCTTGGAGGGCGGAGTCCAGTGGTCCTTACCGGCCACGCGGACGCTTCTTGGGCTGACGACCAGGCTACGCAGCGGTCGTCACAGGGTTACACCTTCAGCCTTGGTTCCGGCTCTGTCTCGTGGCGGTCTACTCGCTCGTCTTCGGTTCTCGGCTCCAGTTGTGAGGCTGAGATCTACGCCGGGGCCATGGCTGCACAGGAGCTTCGCTGGCTCACCTACCTGCTGACTGACCTTGGAGAGCCACCTCGTTCTCCTCCAGTGCTGTACGTAGACAACAAGGCCATGCTGGCCTTGTGTCGAGAGCAGCGCTTGGAGCACAGAACGAAGCACATTGCTCTCCGCTACTTCCTTGCTCGTGAGCTGCAGCAGCGTGGTCAGTTGCGACTTGCGTACGTGGCCTCTGAGGCCAACACTGCTGATGTGTTCACCAAGGCACTCGCGCCTTGTGACCATCAGCGCTTTTGCACCCAGCTGGGTCTTGTGCCTGTCTTGCCTCACTTGCTCTCCTCTTGACTTCACTTGTACTGTGACATATATATATACCTGCTCTTGCTTGTCTAGTTTTATATATATGTCTGTACTCCTGCATGTGAACTGGCCTCTGGCCCTGCTCTTGTGCTCGGACTGTGTGGTGACTTTGTGATCCACCCTGAGCTTGCTTTGCTTTGCTTGACTGGTCTTGTGACCCCTTGTTCTCCCCCACTTTGCCTATGGGGGTGTGTCAAACATTGTATATGTTCTGCTTGTGTAGGCTACAGTGGGTTAGCCTATAGGGGGTACACAATTCTAGGGTTTCCTACTTGTACTCATTTCACTGCTAGTTCATTCATTCCTGTTCGCTTATTCTCACAGCAGCCTCACCAGCACCTAGAGCAGTAGCCTCAATGCCCGGGTCAGGCGGTACACACAGGTAACAGTCACCCTCAACACTAGCAGACACAGCATACATGGCAGCAAGGATAGCATCATAGTCAAGATCAAAGATGGCAACCCCCGCCCTAGACAGATCTCCCCAGCAAGGGATCTCTGACGCCTCAGGGAACTGGTGACGCCACGCGTCCGTCAGGCGGCCGAAGCAGCGCTGGGTGGAGTGCGGGCCCCCGCACTGCTCACCAGCGCGGTCGCCGGTACGGAGGACGTAAGTGCAGGGACCAGTACCCCCACCGCGCTGACGCGCAGCGTAACACTCACGAAGCTGCTGAGGGGACAGGGTCTCACGACTGCGTTGCTGCTGCTGACGCGGACCACCACCGGAACCACTCCTCTGTGCAGAGTCGCGACCAGCTCCACCGCCGCCGACGCCGCCGCCGCCTCCGCCGCCTCCGCCACCTCCGTCGCCTCCGCAGCCTCCACTGCTGCTACCGTCGCCGCCACCCCCGCCACCACTCCCACCACCACCCCCACCCCCTCCACTGCCTCCACCACCACCTCCACCGCTCCCGCCAGCCCCTCCAGCTCCCTTGCCCCCCTTGCCCTTGCCGGTGCGGCGTCTCCCGCTAGGGGCAGACGCAGCGCCGACCCCGTAGAAACCAACGAGGTCGGCAGCAGCAGCAGAAGCAACAGAGGGCAAGAGGGGGGAAGGGGAACACCCCTCAAAGACGAGGGTGCGAGGGTCACCACGAGAGGCTCCTACAGTGACTATGCTCTTCTCTGCTGCTAGGAGGCGCTCCTCAAGGAGGTCAACGGTGAGTGTGGTGGGGCAAACTGAGAGGAAGTGGTCCCTGACTAAGCGAAGAGAGTCAGGGAGCCGGGTGACTATGTAGTAGAGGGTGATGTACATGGGGGGGGGGTTCTTGGCGCAGAACTCAGTAGGAAGCGCAGCGCGGTAGCAAGTGTCACTAGTGCGGAGGTGCGTAATGAGGTCAGCGACTGTGGGAAAGGAAGCAAGGTCAGGAAAGAGGTACGGTAGCATGAGGCGGCTCAGTGCAGCAGTGGCAGGGGAAGAGTAGCGTGCAACTACAGCGTCGTACAAGGTCTGAGCACTCTTGTACTGGCTAAAGTGCGCACGCTCAGTGGTCGGTAAGTGGCGACGCACAGCAAGACGGGCAGCAGCATCGCGTGTGGCCCACTGTGAGCGAACAGTGCTGTCAGCAGTAGCAGGCGGGGTAGGGGAGGCACTAGAGGTGAGGTCGAATAGGGAGAGGCCGTCTGCCCTATCGCACTATAGCATATAAGTTTGACAACACGCCGTTCGGCCATGAGCCGCACCTCATGCGTCCTTCCTCTAACCTCGTGCCTCGTGCCACGCGTCCCCTTGCGTCACCATCCGTCCTCGCCAATCGTACGCCGGCGGACGGCAAAGCCTCTGCAAGGAGAAAGAATATGAACAAAATCGTTAGAGGATAATAAAGAACAAAATGAAACAATGAACACGCTAAACTGCAAGAAACAAACACGTTACCTTAGCTTGAGCGGATCTTGGAAAGATCAGCGGAACGGACGATGTCGCCAACCGTCGCCTTCCGATTGTGACGCCAGTCCTCTTTGCCAACGGAGAAAGCCATCCAGTTCGCGTCGCCGTGCGACCGCCATTGGTCGCCATCCGTCGCCGTACGTTGTCGCGTGTCGTACGCCGTTGGCCCCTGCAGGAGAAAGAATATCACACGTTAGTACGCGGAACGAAAAATCAGATCAGGCGCAACGGGTTGGAAAACTAAATCAACATGACGGAAAATATAAATCAGATCAAGACATTGGATTCAAATCAGATCTATCGAGCGAGGCGCAACTCAACACGTTACCTCAGTCGAGCGAGGCGCTGCCGGTAGGCCTGTTGGAGGTTGCGTGAGGGGGAGGTTTGCCCCCAACCACCGAATGTGTTGCTTCCGATTCACTTCACTGCAGGTTTCGAGAAAGTGCAGGTTGACTTCGGGAGACTTGAACTTCGGTGCCACATGGCAGCACAAGAAGAATCGAGACTCAGGAAGAATTCGATTCGGTGAAATTCGAGAGTCGAATTTCACCCCTTCGAAATGTTACTCGACCTTTCGAGAGTGTAGCGGTTCGAGGTTACTTGTGTGACTCGAGAAGTTAACGTTTGCATGAAGAAGTTAAATCAAGTTGAACTTACCTCCGATTGTCAAGGTAGGCATGAAGCTTGTCAGATTTATATGACATAGTTGCTGTAGGCTATAGTGGGGTAGCACATATGGGGTACAGGTTTCTAGGGTTGTATTTGTACCACAATCTTTCCTTAGTCAATCCATTCCTGTTCATTACTTTCACATGGTATCAGAGCGGGTTCCCTGTGGGAACTTCGCCTAGGGCCCACCGAAGCGCGCCCCGAGGCGCGCGATCTCTTTTTTTTTTAGCGACCCCCCGAGTCGCCCTTTCCCTCGCGGCCCCGCTGCCCTTCTCGCGGCCCCACCGCCCTTCAGACGCGGCCCCGCCGCCCTTCCTAGCGGCCCCGCCCACCCTTCGAGCGGCCCCGCCTCTCCTTCGCGGCCCCGCCATCCAGTCGCGGCCCCGCCACTACGTCGCGGCTCCGCCGCCCCGTCGCGGCCCCGCCACCCAGCCGTGGCCCCGCCGCCTCTTCCTCGCGGACCCGCCACTCCGTCGCGGCCCCGCCTCTCCGTCGCGGCCCCGCCGCCCCTTCACGGCCCCGCCGCCTCTTCTCTCGCGGCCCCGCCGCCCCTACTTCAGCGGCCCCGCCGCCCCTGATCTCGCGGCACTCGCCGCCCCTTCTCTCGCGGCCCTCGCCGCCCCTGATCTCGCGGCCCTCGCCGCCCCTGATCTCGCGGCCCCGCCGCCCCAGCACTCGCGGCCCCGCCGCCCCTTCTCTAGCGGCCTCGCTGCCCCAGCGCTCACGGCCCCGCTGCCCCTGATCTCGCGGCCCCGCCGCCCCAGCGCTCTCGGCCCCGCCGCCCCTGATCTCGTGGCCCCGCCGCCCCAGCGCTCACGGCCCCGCCACCCCTACTACCGCGACACCGCCGCCCCTACTCACGGCCCCGTCGCCCCTGCTCTCACGGCCCCGCCACCCGGTACCGGAGCAGCCGAGCCGCCCCGCCCGAGCCGCCATGCACCCGAGCCGCCCGGGAGCCGAGCCGCCCAGCAGCAGCCGAGCCGCCCAGCAGCAGCCGAGCCGCCCAGCAGCAGCCGAGCCGCCCAGGAGCCGCCGAGCCGCCCAGTCGCAGCCGAGCCGTCCTGCAGCCGTCGAGTCGCCCGACCTGCCCTGCCTGGTGAGCACAGCACTGCTACCGCTTGCCCTTTCCCCACTGCTTGCACTGCTAGTCTGTCGTCATGGCTACCCCCAGTGTCCTAGCTTTTGACGCTGAGGGCAGAGCCATCGACTTTGAGGTCTGGGTCGACGACCTGCAGTTGTTTTTGCAGTGCGATAGGGCAGACGGTCTTTCTCTCTTTGACCTCACCTCTGGCGCCTCTCCTGCTCCTGCTGCTGATGCTGACCCCACTGTTCGCTCTCAGTGGGCCACCCGCGATGCTGCTGCACGTCTTGCTGTGCGTCGCCACTTGCCCACCACTGAGCGCGCGCACTTTAGTCAGTACAAGAGTGCTCAGACCATGTACGACGCTGTAGTTGCGCGCTACTCTTCCCCTGCCACTGCTGCACTGAGCCGTCTCATGCTACCGTACCTCTTTCCTGACCTCACTGCCTTTCCCACTGTCGCTGACCTCATTACGCACCTCCGCACCAGTGACACTCGCTACCGCGCCGCCCTTCCTGCTGAGTTCTGCGCCAAGAACCCCCCCCCCCCCCATGTACATCACTCTCTACTACGTAGAAGCACGCCTCCTTGACTCCCTCCGCGTAGTCAGGGACCACTTTCTCTCAGTCTGTCCCACCACCCTCACTGTCGACCTCCTCGAGAAGGCCCTCCTAGCGGCGGAGAAGAGCATCGTCGCTGTAGGAGCTTCTCGTGGTGACCCTCGCTCCCCCATCTTTGAGGGGTGCTCTCCTTCCCCCCTGCTGCCCTCTGTTGCCTCTGCTGCTGCTGACGACCTGCTTGGTCTTGAGTCGGTCGGCGCGGCGTCTGCCCCTAGTGGGAGACGCCGCTCTGGCAAGGGCAAGGGGGGCAAGGGCGCGGGTGGAGCTGGAGGGGGCGGTGGAGGTGGCGGTGGAGGCGGCGGAGGGAGTGGGGGTGGCGGCGGGAGTGGTGGCGGAGGCGGTGGTGGTGGTGGCAGCAGCGGAGGAGGCGGCGGTGGTGGCGCCAGCGGTGGGAGTGGTGGCGGCGGTGGAGGCGGAGGAGGAGGAGGTGTTGGCGGAGGAGGTGGAGCTGGTCGGGGTGGTGCCCCGCAGCGGAGCGGCGCTGGTAGTGGTCAGCGCCAGCAGCAGCAGCAGCAGCAGCAGCGTTCGCGGGACATCCCTCCGCCCCAGCAGCTCTGTGAGTGGTACACTCGGCGTCAGAGGGGTGGGGGTGCTGGTCCGTGCACCTACGTCCTTCGTTCTGGCGACCGCGCGGGTGAGCAGTGTGGGGGTGCCCACCCCACCCAGCGCTGCTTTGGCCGCCTGACGGACGCTTGGCGTCAGCAGTTCCCCGAGGCTAGTGAGATTCCCCGCTGGGATGAGCTTTCTAGGGCTGGTGTAGCGATCTTTGATCTTGACTTTGATGCTATCCTTGCTGCTATGTATGCTGTGACTATTAGTGAGGAGGGTGACTGTTACCGGTGTTTCCCGCCCGACCCGGGCATTGGTACTGCTGCGCTAGGTGCTTGTGAGGCTGCTGCTCTAGGTGCCAGTGCGTCTGCGCTCTTAGGTACTGGTGAGACTGCGCTCTCGGGTACTGCGTCGCCTTCGTCCTCCCTCACTTTCACACTTGACTCAGGGGCTTCTCGCTCCTTCTTTCGAGACCGCACCACCCTCACGCCGCTTGGTCGGCCGGTTGCGGTCTCCCTGGCTGACCCCTCTGGGGGTCCTGTCCTCTCTCACTTTTCCACTGTCCTCCCGTGTCCGGCTGCCCCGTCGGGCACCCTGTCTGGTCTGTACCTTCCCTCGTTCTCGACGAACTTGGTGAGTGGTGCGGACCTACAGGATGCGGGGGTTCACCAGTTCACTCCTGCGAGTCAGCGGGTGACCCACTGCACGGACGCACGCACAGGCCGGCACCTGGCCACGTTCTCGCGTCGGCCGGGGTCGAGCCTCTACACCCTGACCACTGATTCTCCTCCTCTCCCTGCGTCAGGTCAGGTGTTTGCTGCTGCGTCCCGGTCTGGCCCTGAGTCTGCCCCCTGTTCGTGTCGCCTCCTGTCTCACGAGACTCTCCTGTGGCACCACCGTCTTGGCCACCCCTCCCTGTCCCGTCTTCAGGGCATGGCTTCCCGTGTCCTTGTCTCAGGTCTTCCCCGGTCTCTCCCTCCCCTTCCTTCGGGACCAGGACCTTCCTGTGTCCCCTGTGTCGAGGGGCGCCTCAGGGCTGCTCCTCACTCCTCCCAGTTTCCCCCGACAGAGGCTCCTCTGCAGACACTTCACATGGACGTGTGGGGCCTGGCCCGCGTCCGTGGGCAGGGTCACGAGCGATACTTCCTGTTGGTGGTTGACGACTACTCGCGTTACACCACAGTCTTCCCCTTGCGCAGCAAGGGTGATGTCACTGCGGTGCTGATCGACTGGATCCGCGAGGCTCGTCTCCAGCTCAGGAGGAGCTTCGGCTCGGACTTTCCTGTTCTGTGTCTGCACTCTGACCGAGGTGGGGAGTTCTCCTCTCGCCTTCTGCAAGACTACTGTCGTGCACGGGGGATCAGCCAGACCTTTACGCTTCCGGACTCTCCACAGCAAAATGGGATTGCTGAGCGCCGCATTGGCATGGTCATGGATGTCGCTCGTACGTCCATGATGCATGCGGGTGCCCCCCATTTTCTGTGGCCGTTTGCGGTTCGGTACGCGGCGCATCAGATCAACCTTCACCCCAGGGTCTCTCGGCCCGCGATGTCCCCAGTCTTGCTGTGGACGGGGAAGGTCGGCGATGCGTCTGCGTTCCGTGTCTGGGGATCTCGGGCGTTTGTCCGCGACTTGTCTGCGGACAAGCTGTCCCCTCGTGCTGCTCCCTGTGTCTTCATTGGCTTCCCCCCTGACGCTAGGGTGGCAGTTCTACCACCCCTCCTCTCGTCGTGTTCTGTCCTCCCAGGACGTCACGTTCGACGAGTCCGTCCCCTTCTACCGCCTCTTCCCCTACCGCACTCCTTCTCTCCCCCCGCCACCGGACTTCCTTGTGCCGGTTCCCCCCCCGGTAGACCCCCTCCCCCCTCAGGTTCCTGCCCCCTCAGGTGTGTCCCAGGTAGACGCCGTTGACCCGATCGAGGTTACTGGTGACT